TGAGCTACAGGCAACAGAAACAGGCTCTGGCTGTTTCAGCAGAAAACAGGTTTATTATATGACAAAAGCCAGTTTACCATAAAGCTAAATAGGCTTAAGCTCCAGGGCCCCTTACTTGCATGGCTCCCTGTGAATGTTCTAGGGTGGGCAAGGAAGCCAGGTTGCAATCAGCAAGCATTTCTTTTTTTTTTTTTTTTTTTCAAAAGATGACCGGTAAGGGGATCTTAACCCTTGACTTGGTGTTGTCAGCACCAGGCTCAGCCAGTGAGCAAACCGGCCATCCCTATATGGGATCTGATCCCATGGACTTGGTGTTATCAGCACCGCACTCTCCCGAGTGAGCCACGGGCTGGCCCATAAGCAAGCATTTCTACATGAGCATTTCTGGAAAATATCGTAAAGAGATCTAGGAGAAAGGGATTTGAACCTTCCAAGGTCTTATATTTGATATGATTTCTTTATTTATTCTAAATAAATGTTCATTTTCATACTGAATTTAACATGTAATGAGTTAGATGAGCCGGTGTTAGAAGACAAGGATTTTAAAGTAGCTATTATAACTATGCTCAAGGTGGTAAAAGAAAACATGCTTATACTGAACGAACAAATAGGAAATCCCAGTAGAGAAACAGAAACTATAAAAAAAATTAAAATAAAAATAAAGAACTAAATGGAAATTCCAAAACTAAAAATTCAAATACAGTATCTGAAAGGAGGTTGGAAAAGTGAGTCTCCTGGGTTCTACCCTGAAGGGGTAAGATTCATGAGACTGGAAATTCTTCAGACATAGCCAGGGAGTTCAAAGGGAGAGAAAAGTAGGAGAGTGATGACCTCTTATGCTTGCCCTCCCCTTTCTGCATTGAGCACTTGTCTCACGAGACTGTGATGATGCCTGCAGCTATAGCAGCCACTTTGCGATCCAGAGGGGAGGTAGGGAGAAAGGCAGATAAAGAAGCCTGAGAGAGAGCTGTGATACCGCAGATCTGTTGAACATATCCCAGAATCACCTATCTCTGGATTTCCTCTGGATTTCCTGTCATGTGAGATAATAAACTACTCTTAATTGGGAATTTGTTAGTAATAGTCAAAATACATCCTGACTAATCTCTGGATTTCCTGTCATGTGAGATAATAAACTACTCTTAATTGGGAGATAATAAACTACTCTTAATTGGGAATTTGTTAGTAATAGTCAAAATACATCCTGACTAAAATGTAGCTTCTGTTGAAAATGGAGAGATCTGGCAATACCAGACCTACATTTACCTGTACCAAGACTGCTGTAGACAGCCCCTTTAGACAAGGCAGGAGTCTCTAGTCTCTGAGTTTACTTGGTGTCCCTGTAGGCAACTGAGTTTGCAGTCCCTGCCCTACACATCTTTCGAGAGATGGCTCAATGCCCCCTCTTCTACAAAGCACTTCCCGATTCCTGCCTCTTTGCACCCCAGCCCCACCTAGCCAGAAGTAATTTCCCTCTCCTTTGCCTGCTTTCTATCTTCTTTGTAATTGCTCATTTCATCCCCTCCTACTTGGCTATCAGCCTTCTGAGTACAGGGACCATGCCTTATTCATCCCTGTACCTCCCTCTGCCATCTAGTGAGGTGCTTGAATACAGGAGGCACTCAAGGCGTCTTTGCTGAATAAATGAACAAACACTCCCTGCAGTGAGAATGGCCACGTTCCAGAACATCCCATTCACCAAGCTCACCAAGGATCTTTGCATGGGTGATGTGTGCTGCTTCTCAACCCAGGAATACAATTCCCTATCATGCCCTGATTGATATACCAGTATACCCCGAGCTGCTCAGGCCCTCAGCCCCAGTCACTGTAGCACACTCATAACAGTCAATGCTCTGAAGTCCGGCTCCCAGGCCCTGTCCTGGAGCTCAACCATTACTCAGAAAGCGTGCTACTCGGGAAGGGATAAAGGCAACAGCATAAGACCCTTCCCATGATAGTCTGGGAAGAACTGGTGGTCACCACAAACTCCAGGAAAGGATGGAAGTTTAAACACACACAAACAAATGTCCCGTTTTACATGTGATAAAGGTCAGGTGACTTGGAAATACACATCGCTACAAATCACAGACACAGATGGGAGGGGAGGCGGCCCCGCAGTTCTGCCCCAAGCTCCATGTCTCAGAGCTCTGCATCCCACAGAGACACTCAGAGCCCCCAGGGTGCTGGCAAATCCTGAGGTGCATTACTTCTTTTCTATCTATCCTGGTCTAATTTAACCCTAGAAAGGTTTCCTGAACTGGCGTTTGATTTTTTAGTTCCAGCTTTAGGTAGATTCTCTCCTAGCACCTGGATCTTTGCTCTCGACCCTCCTTCCTCCCTCCCTTCCTTCCTTCACTCATTCATTCATCTATCTTTTGGCTGCTGGACAGTACAGGGATTGAACCCTGGAGCTCATGCTCTAACCAACTGAGCTAACCTGCAAGCCCCTCTTTACTTTTAAATTGTAGTAAAATAAACATAAGATAATATTTACCATCTTAACCATTTCTCAATGTGTAGTTCAGTAGTGGTAAATACACGCACATTGTTGTGCAGCCATCACCACCACCCATCTCCAGAACTCTTTCCATCATCTCAAACTGAAACTCTGTACTCATTAAACACTAAGTTCAGTAGTGGTAAATACACGCACATTGTTGTGCAGCCATCACCAGCACCCATCTCCAGAACTCTTTCCATCATCTCAAACTGAAACTCTGTACTCATTAAACACTAACTCCCCATTCCTCCCCCGTTCCCAGCCCCTGGCAACCACCACTCTACCTGTCTCTATGAGCTTGACTATTCCAGGAACCTCATAGTAGTGGAATCACACAGTATTTGTCCTTTTGTCTCTGGCTTAGTTCCAGTTAGCATGATGTTTTCAAGGTTCATCCATGGCAACAGCATGTTTTGGAATTTCCTTCCTTTTTAAGGGTGAATAATATTCCATTGTACATATCTACCACATTTTGTCTATTGGTTTGTCGATGGATACTTGAATTACTTCTGCCTCTTGGCTACTGTGAACAATGCTGCTGTGAAAACAGATGTACATGTCTCCTACACAACTATACTTGACTAGCCTAAAAAAAATGAACACGGGTGTACAAATATCTGTTCGAGTCCTTGCTTTCAGTTCTTTTGTGAACCTGGCCTCTGACTTTCTCTGAATCAGTTGTGATCCCAACTTTAGGCATGGAATTCTCCAGGGCAGCCTCTATTCCACTGGGGGCAGGGAAATAGAATCCCAGGCTGGGCTCTTAGGTGATGTTCACGGGAAACGCTCTGGAGCTGGAGAGCCAGAGCTGAGCTGAGCAGGAATTCAGGGACTGGTTTCTGGACCCTCCAAATGGAGGGCAAATCAGGGACAACATGGCCAGAAGCAAAGGAGAGTGGGATGTCCCCTCTGCCTCTGTGGAGAAGACACATACCACTGCATGGAGGAGAAGAGCAGGACAAGGGAGGCCTCTGTTCCCCAAAAGGGCAGGCATGCCGCAGAGGCGGCCCCAGGGGCTCCAAAGGGCAGCCCAGGCTGCAGGGGCAGAGGTTACAAAAAGGGAGAGGATTTAGAGACTGGTACTATTCAGAAGACTTCAGTTAGAGGGTTCCGTGCGCGAAAAGAAGTCTTTT